TATATTAATTTTTAATAAAGTACCTTTTACTTATAGACAAATAAATAGGGGTAAATGGAGTAATTATCAATAAAATATGGATTACTCCGTATTAAAGTTTATTTGTTTGTTTGTTTTGTTTTTTTATTTTTTATTTTTTATTTATTTATTTTTATTCCATCCGGTTTACTGTTTGGGAGAATTCGGATTCGGAGCTCAATTTTAGAAAATTTGATTCCAGTCAATTTCCAATTGTAATTGTGAGGGATCGAAAACACAATTCTTTTTACCAAGTTCAAATCTCAATCACCATTAAACCAACACCCAATTGGTAAAGAAAAGAAATTATAAATATTTGCCAACCATGTTATTTGACTTATTTTGTCGTTGCACGATTGAAAAGACCTAGATTTTGCGTGTGATGTGAAATGACCTATGTCTGCCAAAGCCACAAATATTCCCCATCTTTAATTCCACTAGTGTCGTCTTTGAACTCATAAGAGACTAGGAGAATTAGAATTTTTTTTAGTTTGGTAGGTGTACGTTAATATTACAGGTGTAAAATTACACTCTCTTTTACATTTTCAAATACTCTTCATTTTTATCATGTCACTCCATTCAGTGTGAACTCCTGTTTGCAGAAAAGTTTGTAAGAAGTGAGTGGGTGTTGTAAAAGAAGATGAGTAAAATAAGAATGATGAAATAAAATTTGAATGCATAAGATAAAGAAAAATGCTACTCTCTCCGTCCCTTAATTAAATTCCTATATAGAGAGAAGTATGAATTTAATTAAGGGACGGAGGGAGTAATATATAATACAAGAGAGAGTGACCGGTTGGAATGAAATGCATACGTATTGTAGATCATACATGTGGCGTTAAGAGAGTTAAGGTTGTATAAGAAATTTGCTAAAATGGAACAAAATAAAAGAAAAGAAGTAAATCGGACACTATGAAACACTTCTAAATGAAAAGTAAGCCGTCGAACGTTTGAAATTGCTCTAGCACAAACAAAAATATTGGTTTACGCTTCCTCCATTTCTATTTATTAGTTGCACAATTTCTCTTAAACGATATCACAATAATCATGATAGATGTACTATTTTCTTATCAATCAAGTATTTTGATGGCCTAGCCTATATGCCCATATATACTTATTACATATATCCTATCATACTTGACTTAATTTTGTAATTTCTTTACTTTCAATGCCCTTCAAATGTCCCTAAGATCGAATAATGGTATGTATAATCAAATAGATTTGAATGAAGCGAAAATAAGGAAGCATGTGAATTACAAAGCATAAATAAACGTCTAATATAATGCCTAGTATATATTACTCATGAAAGAACATAAATTTGCATATATTAAAAATTAGGTTAGAAATCAAACCAAATTTAGTAAACAATTTACATGAATGCTTCTTAGTCATTACCAATTTACCATGTGAGTTTTTAATTATATATTCAGATTTTCTTACTTAAGAAACAAATAATAAATAATCATGTCAAACAAAAACCATAACATGTGAATATGTGATATGTTGTACTAGTGTAACCATGTCATGTCATGCTCGTGAATGACAGACAATTCCAGATCACAAGGGTTTGAAGTTTGGGTGTTTTAAGCATGTCTAATCATGGATAATCTAGCTTTAACAAAAGTCATGGTTTTTTTTAATTACTAAAACTTGATTTTGGGGGTCAAACTTTGCTGAAATTATAGGATCCATAATTAGTTTACTATTCAAAAACATATGATATAATGTTAGAAAAGTGCAATGAATCTGGATTATTAGTGTAACTTGTCAAAAGTTTGTTTGTGACTATGTGAGTTAGTGACCATGCAATTGCTTGTAAATTTCTTGATTTAGTTTCTAGAAGATTGTTGAATCATGCATTTGGTTGAAAACATGAATAATTGATTTATGCTTGTAAAGTAAGACCATGTTCTCGATCTTCATTTAATATTTATTTAATACAGAGTTTCATTTATTAAAGTTATTAATGATTTTATAGTGTAATTTCACATGTAGTACTAATTTGTATCAGGTACCAATGAAAGTTGGTTAAAACTAGTTATTGAGCAACAATTATGTAATTTAGCAAACTGAATTTACAAGTTGCATACCACTTCAACCATTTCTAAAGGTTCTTTACACTTTTCGATTTAGGGTTTGTTCTGATTTACTGATTTGAAATGAACTGAATTAAACTGAACTGAGCTAAACTGAACTGAACTGAAATATTTGACAATAGATTAATGATTTTTAACTATGGATTAATGGTATTTTGTTTATTTATTATTATATATATGTGTGTAATAAATATATATAAAAAATAAAAATACATAAATATATATAAAAAAAATTATGAAAAATAATAATAATATATTAAGTGGATTAAGAAATATATATATAAGTATTTAAAAAAATAAAAATAATATTGTATTTTAAATTTTTAAATTTATTATTATTATTATTATTATTATTGATAATAATAATAATAATAATATATAAGTGTATAAAATATTTATTATAATAATATATATAAGTAAGGCTAGAATACTTAAAAAAAAATAAGGCTAGAAAAATAATATTGTATTGACTGTACTTCAACGCCCCTCCCCCCAATTATGAAACCCTCTACCTAATTTTTAACGCCTTTGTGCTCTATGCTAAAAAGTATGAAATTTGGCTGTAATTATCATTAGCAATATCACTAGATATATAGATGAACTTAGATCGGTCCACCTAAACTAAATTGTCATTAAGAATATCATTAGTTAAATCATATAAAAAAAGAATTAGCAAAAGAAAAGAATTGAATTGAACTGATTTGAACTAAACTTATTAGAGCTGAACTAAACTAAACTGAACTGAACTGAAATTAAACCGAAGAGAACAAGTCCTTGGTCTGTTTTTGAATGTTTTTTACACATTTGCTTTATATTAATTGTTTGATCGATGAACACATTTTCACTCACTATATGTCTATACTTATTTAAACTTTTTCTTATACCAGCCATCTTTGTATTCCTCATTTTATTTTCTTATGCTCACTCTGTCATTCATCACATCAGTTAACATATAATTCTCTCCCAATTACGCTAATTTGTGTGCAAATAGCAACGTTAAAGAACTTCCGAGAACGCTGATAATTATATGTGATATTATTTGTATCATTTCAGGATGATAGTCAATTGTCAATTTTATTGTATGTCAAAATGGTCCAAATTGCAAAGAGAGACAATGAAACAAGCAAGAATATTTTCAATTAACAAAAGAGGGCCCTAGTTAATTAAAAAAAAAAGACATCTCTAAGAAGAAGAAGAAAATTCCCTACCCAAGATGGGTTGTCCCTCCTGCCCTAAGGGCTAGAAAGAGCATGATATGGGGCAAGTCCCATAGACAATCGAGTGGGTGATTGTCACCTTTGAGGCTATGAGAAGAGCCCTCCTCCAACCAACTATCATATTTTTTTTCTTTTTTCAAATGATTTGATGTGCTTAATTAGGCAATATTAACTTCAATGGTTACAATGTTTTTTTTTGATGCATAAGAGGGAAAAACCCGAAAACAAAAAAACAGAAAATTACACCACCATACGTGGCAAAGCCACACCCACCGTATCCTCCCAAATTAGGTCTTTTATTTCAATGGTTACAATGTAAAGCAATGTTTGCAAGTACAATGGAAACTCTAGTTACCATGAATATAAATCCGTCACAATGAAGCATACAAATTTAAATATATGGTACAATAAATGTACCACGTTAGTTAATGATACAAATCTCCCACAATGCTTAATAAAAATGGTTTATAATAAAAATGTAAGGGTTTTTTTAAAAAAAAAAAAAAAATTGTATGATGAGAAATGAAGTCAATATTGTAAAATTAAATATTGAGTTGAGAGACTTGAGACGTGAAGATTTTAATAACAAGACTTCATACAAACATGTTTTTTTTTCTTATATTAGTGAAATCTTACTAGTACATTATTAAAAAAAACAGAGAGAGTGATCATGAGATGCATAGGTACTTGTGTTATGTGTATTGAGTAGCTAATGATGATGAACTCAAAGCCAAATATAAGCAATAATTAACCAATAACGTAACCGTAACAGTTGATAATTGGCAACATGCATAAAGATGTAAAAGATCTTCCATAAACAAGAAAATATTAATAGAAAGAAAGACGAGCCAAAAAGTGTAATACTAGTCCAGTAGTCCTTGAAACATGATGAGAGAGAGAAAAAAGAGAGTGAAGAAGCAAATAGCTGCTACTTAGTGGAGGAAGAATCATGGAAAGCAAAGCTAAATAGAAAGCGCAATAGCTAAAAGCTTGGCTTTGAAGCCTCTAAAAATTTTAAGAGATAAAAAGACCTACTCTTTTTTCTTCTTTTATATTTATATTTTTTTAATTTTAGAGCTCTGACAAATGTCGAGTATGTGTATGTTATATCTATGGTCCTTGTTTCTATTAATACTTCCTCCGTTCCTTATTGTTTAACCTGTAATTTGTTTAACCTAGTTGAATTATTGTCCGATTTTATTCTTATTTACAACTTATAAGGATCATGATATTAATCTCACATATTGTATACTTGACTCGCTACTTTTATTTATTCTATTAGACTAAAAAGTAACAAAGTACTATCTCCGTTACAGATAATGTGCAACGATTTGACATAAAACAGAGAGGGAAAATGTCTAATCGTTACACATAATCTGTAACAGGGGTAGTAATAAAAAATGGTTCGGGGACAAATAATTAATGACAGAGGGAGTATTGTATAATGTATGTCAACGTGACTCTCATCTTTTTCCCATCCCCACCACCATACCATTTCCATGCATCCCCACATCAGCAAAAAAAAAAAAAAAAAAACACAGCACACACCATGCACGCAAAGATAGATGATAATAAAGTCATCAATTATAACACCCCCTTGTAAAAAGCCCTACCCCACCGTCCCACTTTCATACATATAAGCTCCTTTTCTCTCAAGTTACCCCTAAAAAAGCTAAGACTACTTACTTACACTTCTCACAAACCTCTACTCCAAGCAACTTACTTACTTGCAAGAGAAAAGAGACCAAAAAATAATTAGAGGTTAGTTTGAGGAGTGGTGGGTGTTTGTTTTTGCTCATTTTAGGAATGAAAGTGCCCGTTTCCACCCCTCAAGCTTGCAACACCGTCACCGGAAAACCCATCTCCGCCGACAACAACAACAACAACTTCAACACCACTTTCCATTCTCCTAGTAGCAACAACAATAGCAACAACAACAGCAACAACAACAACAATAACAACAACTTGTGTTACGAGCCTACCTCGGTCCTTGACCTCCAACGTAGTCCTAGTAGCCCCGCGGGTGCTACCAAGACCGTTACCAGTACTCCACCACCTCAACCTCCATCTTCAGATACGACGAAGAATAATAATAACAACGTTGATCTGGACAATTTAGAGGGTTGGGATTCAATCCTGTCTGAATTGGGGCTTAATGATGATTCAAACTCCAATAATCCAAAACTTTTGTTATCCCAAATTAGTCCTTGTGATTCATCTCATCTTACACAAGTTCTCCCTGATTTTCCATCCTCTCAAAATCATTTCTCCCAAAATCATCCCCCTTTAGACCTACCCTCAGATTATGCCAACTTCTGCGATTTCTCCTACAATCAAAACCTCAACCCGAATTTCGGCCCCTTCGATCATCAACAACAACAACAGCAACAACAACAACAACAACTTCATCATCATCATCAGACAACGGCAACTAACAACAACGTCAGCAACACGTCATTCGGACTCGATTTCCTAGACGATCTCATACGAGCAGCTCAAGCCTTCGAATCCAACGACTCACAACAAGTACACTTGATATTGGCACGGCTCAATCAACGACTCAGATCACCCCTTGGCAAACCCCTTCAAAGAGCTGCCTTCTACTTCAAGGAAGCTCTCCAACACCTCACCACCTCTAACACCAACAATAATTCCTCATCGCCTCGACCACCTCGGCTTTCCTCGTACGAGGTGGTCCAAACCATAAGAGCTCACAAAGCATTCTCGGGTATTTCGCCGGTGTCCCTTTTCTCCACCTTCGCCGCCAACCAGGCCATCCTCGAAGCCGTTGTCGATGGAACATCACCCTTCATCCATATAATCGATTTCGACATTGGTTTTGGAGGTCATTGGGCGTCGTTCATGCGAGAACTCGTAGACAAAGCAGCTGATCAAACCACAGAGATGAGTATTTCCATAATATTAAGGATCACGGCAATTGTTCCCGAAGAATTTGGTATTGAAAGCAAGCTTGTTAAGGAAAATCTCACGCAATTTGCACGTGATCTTAACCTTAATTTTCATATTGATTTTGTGTTGATACCAACTTTTGAGATATTGTCATTTAAGTCTATGAAGATTATGGAGGGTGAAAAGCTTGCTGTTCATCTTTCTCCTGCGGTGTTTAACCGCTTTTCGAATAATTCTCGAAGCGGGATATCCAAGTTTCTCGGCGATCTCCGTGGGATATCGCCGAGCTGTGTCGTGGTGGTTGATAAGGAGGTTGGAATTGACGCCGGTACCGCGTCGTTTGGACCGACTTTTCTAGCTGGGATTGAGTTTTACACCGGGATGATGGAGTCGATCGAGGTGGCCGCCGCCAGTGGGTTCGCCGGCGGCGGGTTTTCCGTCGGCGGGGATTGCCTCAGGAGGATTGAGACGTTCGTACTGCGGCCGAGGATTATTGCGGCGGTGGAAGCGGCGGCGAGGGTGGCGGCTGGGAGGCGGACATCGTGGCGGGAGGCGTTCGTGGCGGCGGGGATGAGAGCAGTTGGGTTTAGTCGGTTTGCTGATTTTCAAGCAGAGTGTTTGTTAAGGAGGGCTCAGGTTGCCGGGTTCCATGTGGCGAAACGTCATGGGGAGATGATGCTGTTCTGGCATGATCAGCCCCTCATTGCCACGTCATCTTGGCGTTGTTAAGCCGGTACCGCCACGTAAGCCATACTCCACTAATTTTATGGAGGGTATTTAACATTAATTAGTAATTTTGCACTCTATAATTATATAATTAGAGTGCATTAATATGTACTTTTGCCAATTGCTAAATGTCTAAATTTAGGGGGTGGAAAGTGTCAAAACTTTATAGTAAAAAAGAGTGCAAATGATATTGTCCATGGTGAATTACTGTAGGTAAAACTCTACGAATCATGATAAGAGGAGAGAGAAAATCATACCTTAATTACGTGCCAAGTCGGACATTATTACAAGTTTAATTAGTTTTAATGAAATATAATTTAGTTCTTATGTTTTTGTCAGGTAAATAATTTAGAGAGAGGGGGAAGGCGAGGGAATAACATGACGGTGCTAAGTTGTCACTGCCTTATAAAATTGGTGTGTTTTTAATCTGAGTACTAGAACATTCGAACTCGGAGGTAGATGTTAGTTGTTCCTTTTGTTAAGTTGGAGAGAGGCTTAGAATGGTTATTAGGCCTATCACTTACTACATATTAGGTCAACTAAAACACAATAGTTCTATAATACATGTAGTAGTAACACTATGTATTGGGGTTGGTTCAATTCCGTTGTTCAATTTCTGGAAACTTTTATGTTACTCGTGAATTTAGTGTATCATGACTATCTTTTATCAATTTTACTCATTATGTGTTTTGAGTTTTGAAAATTGTATCACAAAATCATTACTAATTGCAGGGATTCACCAACTTCATTAATCACAAACTTGATAATAATTGGATGATTAGTCAATTAATCGCATGTCTAGGTGATTATGACTCTTTTGCTAATGACGAATCGATATGGTTTAAGATGACCATGTAGTTGGAAATTTCTAATGAAATTTTGTTCAACAAACATGGAATGTTGTGAGAGTGTGTAGTATGGACTATGGAGGCATCATCATCATTGTACAAATTTATTGTGCTAATGGTGTGATATGATTTTTACGAGCGTAAATGGTTGCGTAAATGGTTTGGTTTTACATAATTACATCAAACATGTACTACAAAGTCATAGTCAAACAAACGACCCTTGCTTTTAGAGTTTTAGGAAATGATTCAGATGACACTCAGAATTAGAATACATGTGGTTGTAAATATTATATATTTTTATTTATTTATTTATTTATTTATTTATTTATTTATTTATTTTTTTAATGTTGGACTCCTTGGTAGAGTTGACTCATACATAGATAACATGTTTTTGATATCGATTGAATTTGAAACATCTTTGCTAGAAGAGAGACCGCCAATCGTTTGATATCAACTTCAAATAGTATAAATAGTGATTTAAATAAGTTGGAGAGCTATTATCTTGTGACAATGTATAAAAAATACGTAATAGGGAGTTAACTAATTTTTTCTAAGTTTACGATAGATTTTGAAGGCAAGTTTGCAGTACAACTCCTTCCAAAAAATTACAGTACATTGTTTATTTGGCGAATGTTCAAATTATCCCTTGTCATTTACAGCTTTTAAAAGCAAAAATAGGCGTCCAATTTTAAAGAGGAAACGTGAATTTTGGTTAGGACTTAGGATCCGCAAAAAAGCAAGGGTCTTTTAGCAATTGCTTGTATTTGATTATTGCAATTTACTAAACACGTTTATTATTGATTGGTGGCTATTTGCTTTTGATCATTTGATAAAACATACTCTGAATGTTCATTAAGAATTTGCAATGCGATACACAAAGAATTTGCATCTTCAAGGAGTCGAGGCGATTTGGTCGACGTAAACATACATGAATGCCTATGGTATGAATGAAGTCTTACTAGTAAAGTTTGAATTGGAATGAAGATGAAATTGGAACATACAGTAAACATGAATGTCCATGATTTGTTGCCATCTTCACAAGTAGCGAGCAATGAATTTCTCTCCTTAAACTTTATTACGACTTATAATGTGCTGGTGATAATGAGCTGTGGAAACGATTGAAGAAAATAACCATCTGCTAGGGAAGATGCACTATTGTAGTTATTCATATACACACATTAGGGTACCCTAAACCTTCTATTCTGCTCCGATTCAGCTTACATTATAATCAACGATCAATATAAGAAGATTAAAACTTCCTATGTCAAAAGTTGTACAATAGATTTGTGAAATCATCTTGGAATTCAGAGTAATATAATAAAATACACACTTTGACCTCTCTATTACAGAAATCTAGCTGATAACTTATCTTTATACAGTAGTTCTACTCAAACGAATGTGGTTGTGCGTTAACTGAAATCCATCTTAGCATAAACCCGGAAATCACAAATCACATAACAAGCGTTATCAATGACTAAAAAAAAAGAGAAAAAAAAAATGGTATAAGCTGTGTTAAAAACTGAAATCTCCCCTATTTGTTTTGTCAGATATTTAAGCTGAGCCGAAGAAGTACTAATCTAAGCTCTCATTTCAGCTATCGGCCTCACCAGAAGCATTGTTTTCTCCGAGGCTTTGTAAGCTATCCGGTCCACATGTCTGGGTTAGCTCCTCCTGTTCAATACCAAAGCATTTAACTTTTGTATACAAGTCTTGGAATCAAGAAACACTGAAATAAACAAGCATAATACGTATGCCATCTACCCCTGATAATAGTAGTGTTTGATTTAGGGTCATTTTTTTTGTGTGCTTTTACATCTCTACCATACCAATACTTCGAACTGTGTGTTAAGGGTTATGTCGTACGAAGTATATGGGAATTATAAAATCTAACTGTACTAACTTCGTAAAGGGGCTTTAATTTTGGGATAGACTAAAATAATTTTGTGAACTGCAAAGTATGATTTGGGACAGAAATACTACAATAAGAAGAAATGTGGACAATGGTTTTTGAGCATATCAAAATGCAAAACCAATGTGTTTAACAGATGAAGTTGTTCAAGGAAGCTGATGCATTTTGACAAACCTTGATAGAATTGTTTTCAGAAGTCAACTTCTCGCATTCAGCAGATAACCTCTGGAGCTCTTCTCTGAGGCTGCTATTTTCATTATTCAGAGACTCAACCCTTCTTTGCAATTCTTCACACTCAGCCTAGAAAGACCAAAGAATTTCAGAAGCCAGCAGAAGTTATATGAAAGGTAGAAAATACACAAAGCCTATACCTGCTTGCGCAACCTTGACCGCCTGGCTGACTCTCTATTAGATTGTTTACGTTTCTGCCTTTTAAGTTCACGCTCATCCTGCCAAAAAAGTTGGTCAATAAAATGAATGAAAAATCATGAAAGTATAGTGTTTCCCTGAACTCATAAACGTAGTTCTACATTCAAATTTACATTCAAGCTCAAGCTGTTCTGCAAAATGTACCATAGAGGTATGAGGTGTAATTAATCAATTGAATTAATAAGACAACAGATTAGCTATTTGCTGCAAAACAAGTCCATTTTTATCCCAATGACTTCTTTTCAAAATGAAGCATTTAAAAATCACAATACTTCAATTTGCTTCTTTTAATAAAGAATATCAAACACAATCACGAAGCAGAAAGGGAACTAGAAATTCCAGCGGATTTGAAATCAAAACATACTTGGATCCATTGGTGGTCAGGCATAAGCCCTTCGCGTCCAACCATTGCCGGAGCTACTGCAGATGCTACTCCAGTATTAGGTCTCAATTTAACTCCACCAGCAGCAGAAGTATTCCACAAATCCATGCCAATGTTAAGATTAGTAGCAGCAACCACTGGTTTTCCTGGCACTGAACCCTGAGCTGCATTCCCTGAGCTATTTTGTGCATTAGCCCCTACAGAAGTTACCCAAACTCAAAATGAGATGTCACATTTATGTGACTTCAATGTAAGCGGAAACTAAAAGGAAAAAAGATGTTAATCAAACATAGTTTATAGCATATACCATCTTCAAGCATCAGATCGAAACTTCCTTTCTTAGTCGCAGAGTTTTCCTGGACAGAAGAACTAGCTAAGTTTAGCCTAAACACTAGATCAACAACACAACAAAGTCCAGAACATGTTACAGCTCATATTAATCCAACAATTAATACTAGATAAATTTTTCCTTTGAATTCTATACTCTCCCTGTATTGAACTAGAAAGAAAAGCCAGTAAAGACATGCCTGCTGATTGTTGTCATCACTACCATCTGATGAGCCTTCACTTCCACTTTCAGCGCTGTTATACAATAATAATTACAACATTAATGAAAATATAGAGAATTGGAGTAGCTTGAATGATTAGCCTTAGGCCCCATTCTTTTCACATGCTTTACACTGAGCTTCAATTATTATAACAGATCAATGATAATTATCGAGTATTACAAATCAAAACTAACTGCTGATGGATAAAAATCATTTTTGCTGATTAGAAACAATTAAGCTGAATTTTCTGAATACTTCTTATTTCACAGTTGAAGAGAACAGAGCCTTAGTACCAAAATATTGTTAGAAATTCACAAAAATATTAAAAAAAAAAACACCCACCTCTGCGAGGCACCCTCATTTCCAGAGCCTGAAGTTGCTTTGCCAGTTTCAACAGCCTTTTCATTCCCCATGCCGGAATTTCCTTTGGATTTTTTTGCAGAATTCTGATCTTTTACATCCAAGTTTTTTCCTTCTGTTTCCACAGCAAGAGCAGGATTTGGAGTCTACAAGAAAAGATATGGAGCAATAAGTGTCAATCATCATTTATCGACCATCTACCTTCAATTACCATTTCATATATCATCACTTTAATTTCTCATTATTGGTATTGTTTATACGTCATAATTACCATTGCCATATTAGGATGAGCATAAACGCCACCAGGAGGATATAAAGCTGGGTAAGGGACTGGAGTACCATAAGGTGGCATCATAGGGTGCTGTAGAGGGACAAGCGTCCATAATTGTATTAATAAAAGTATAAATTTAGAAACTAGGCACAAAACCGTGGGACTAATGGCCGACTTACCTGTCCTGCCCACATATAGGGATGAGGTGCTGGAGCTGCAACAGTAGAAGCAAAAAAAGGAGGAGTAGCACCATTGCCATAATATGCCTGCAATTATTACAAGTTAATATGAGCCAAAAACCTTTCCTTAAACCCTCAAATTTAAAGGAAAAACAACTGTCACTGACTTGTTGGGTATAAATGCTATATCTAGAAGGTAAATAAGAAATTCAAATATTAAAGACTATCGTCACATGATTTCCATTATAGAGTCAAATAAAACATGGGGCAATTTGAACTTTTCCTGAGACTTAAAAATGACATTATGCTGGATCAGAACTTTCGAGTCAGGTGTACTAAGCCACTAGAGTACATCAAAGACCAAATTACAGATCATTATTTAAATAACAAAATTGCTAAATCAAACACAAGAAGAGACTCGTTCGCTGGCAAGTAACAAGTGATGGAAACAAATTGCATATATTACTAAAACCATTACTGCAATCATACTAATTATTGGAATGTCTTGTTTCCTATACCTCTTATAATCGTAGAGAAAGAGTCAACAACTTTCAACCATTCATGATACCAAGATGAACAACAACAACAAAAGCCTTAAAATAAAAATGAGAGAACGAGGCAACAATTATAAAAATGAGAGGACAAGGCAACAATTAACTTTTTTTTTTTCCAAATCACAAACCTGCATGGAACCTGACCAATCAGGATATGATGGCACTGCCGCCTGAGTCTCCTAGAAGGATAGGGGAAAAAAACAAGAATTGAGACTGGCATTAGGCTATATAAAAAGTAAAAACATGTTAGAAAGAGGTAGGAGAAAAGAAAAGAGTGTCAGAAAGACTTGGGAAGAAGATAGAAAGGGAGAGAAAACCTGTGCTGAACTTGTTGCTTTTGAAGGCTTGGAAGGTGTCTGCTCCTCGGCTGCCCCCATTTACATAGGTCCAATCACCACCAGATCCACCAAGGACTAAGCAAATATTGAGAGGTACAAAATCCTAATAAATGTGATATGACAGATCAAAACCTATCCGATGAGATGCATCATACAAATATTGAATAGTAATACAATGCAAAAACCATCAAGAATCACATACTTCCCTTAAAGAGAAATTTGAATTCGCATAAACAGGAAAATTAATTTGTTATCGAACCAAATGCAAAGTTAGAAACCGAGATCAACTGGACATGGTCACAATGACACAAACTTCAAGTAATTTTTAATCCTAAATTTTGTAGCTAATTCTAAACACTCTAGCAAGTGTTCACAATAGAAATTACTAAGGCGGAAGGACTAACAAATGATGTAACTGTTTTACAGAAGCAGGAAATTGTCCATAAAGTGATACAATGTACCAAAACTAGGAAAATTTAAACTAATATATGAAACTACGCCTATTTTCACTCTTAAAATTGCTATGAGTGATAAAATGGTGTTTGAAACTACAATATATCAATTAATCCAGTCATCAGTTTAAAGTGGGCTTGTCATTCTACAACATATCATCTAGTCCCAACTCCCAAATGAGCAATTAGGATCAGGGCTCAAGTAAAAGAAAGTTAAGTAGCATCCAAGCAAGAGTGATCTAGCCTATGCCAAACCAGTCAAAGAATCACTCTAGCTGTTAATCCAAGAAAAAAAAACTATCAATAAAGAGGGAAAACTTAAATCACCGCAGGATTGTGGAAAGGAATCGGTGATAACATTATCCAAACTTTAAAAAAAAAAAAACTTGGTCTCGAAATCATACATTATCCAATCTTTCTTTTGAAAGGGATATTCCACAAAGACACACACCCAACTCTACCTCATTAGTATGAGGTTCCAAATAACTAGTTTCCTAACAACATTAAAAACTCATATAACTAATAGTGCCAACAAAATTTTTTAGTAAATTTCTAAGAACCACCTACTTCAGAGACACTTGTGAATCTAAAGATTGGACTCCCTAAGCCAAGCTACCGCCCTTATAAAGTAGTGCCTAAAATGTACTAATAGTTATCTTAGCCAAGCTAAATGCCTATACAGCAGCTTTGAGTAAAACCTTTTGCTAGCAAAAATTTGTAATTTATTCTCCAACCACAAGTATTAGAGCAACTAACCAAAATATGGTAAGTATGTTGAGGGCAATATAATTAGGGAATAAAAAATGGGTCTTTTTAATATGGCATTTCAGTGGGCCTAGGTGGAAATTTTTATACACCAAGCTAGCCCAATGCTTAGATATAAACCATCTAGGATACCTAAGAATCCCAGACTGCAATAGGATCCTTATGGTTGTAGTTTCACTTGTCGGGTTATCATAGCTACCCTAACTCAGATCCATGCCAAAGAAGTGTTAGCCCAACCAAAAAGATGAGTTTAAATGATGCCACCAATATCCTCATTTAAGCTGTAGGAAGATCAAAAATCATTGATACTCAATAGATAGGGATTATCAAAGAGATTAAAACACCAAAATCCGGCAGATAGACTATATTCACCATTTTATCACCCTTTTGGAAATTTTTTTTGTACTTGTTAGGCCAGTCAACTGGGGAGACTAGAATTAAGGTTATCATTGTTCCTGTGAGCAAGGGCTAAGTGCCAATGCTTCACCTGGAATCTCACCAATTGGATCAATGGTAACGGTGGGATATTCACTATCTCCAGTACAACTTAACTTGACTATCACATCAAGAATGGGAATTCAACACTACAGATGTATCATATACCTATATTCAGAGCTACTCGTGGACAATTAAGGTTCTGCAGACAGAACACAGAAGTGCATCCTCCTACGGTATATAAAAAAATAAGGAATTCTATCTACACGGTTAAAAACAAGGAGGCTGCCTTTTAATAGGCCAGCGCAAGCTAAAGACCTCAAATCAATCTCATAAGGGTTAGTTAACAAGCCTTCAACGTCGATTAGTCAAACCTTCACGTTCTATATGGGAATGTGGGCATCAAAGGGCAACCCCTTAACTTAGAAAAGAAGAAGTGCACAACTGACCACCCCCAAAAAAATTTAAATAGAAAAAATCATAGTAAAAGTTCACCATGCTATGAGGAACAGATAAATATATAATCAGTCTCAAACATTGGGTCATTAGAAAACCTTAATACCCTAATAACTAAAATATAAAAGCAGTCAATCCATCAATCAAAGCCTTAATCCCATAAGTGGACATGAACCAAAAGTGATTATTTCGTATAATCATCCTCAAAAATCTTCCCCTCCATCCCTTACGATCCAGTACAGGTAGTAGAGGAACTTTTTTAAAAAATATAAATAAAAAAACAGCAAAAATAAATTAAAAAAGCGATCAGTACAATGCATTTTTAATTGAAATATGGACAAAAAAAGGGAAGAGGCGAAGATAAAAAGTCATTAAGAGAAGCTTTAATACTAAGAAGCAAAGACTTAAACCTATTATCTTTTACAGGATGAAATCAAGATATAACAAACCACCCCACAACTCCGGGCTAATAACAGTCATTAAGACTTCAACGAAAGAACTTTTAGTTCACAATCACCATTGGATTCAACACTGATAATTATCAATTTTGATGTTTAGAGAGAAATATGAGGAGCAATGATGTAGATAGCATCACCCCCACTAAACTAGCTATTATCCTCTAGGACCACTACAACACTCCAATATGTTAGCACCTATCATCACAAAATCTTCAAACTAAACCATAGACAACACTCCTATACGTTAGCACTTATCATCACCAAATCTTCAAACTAAACCCTATTCATCCATGGTTTGTGACAAGGCACAACGGCCGACAAACAAAACAAGTAAGAGATCTAAAGCAGTGTTCCATTTATTCCTATAACTAAACCAGCAAACTTACAAGTGATTGATGATTAATGAAATACCAATATGTAAACAAAGTTTACCTTCGAATTTCCCTCACAAAACTAACCTTACAAAGCAAATATCCTCCCTTTCATCCAAACACAAAACCCTCAATAAAGAGAAAAGGAAATTGTCCTAAATTAATCCGCTTAGAAGAAGATTAGCTTAGATCTAATTACAGCTGAAATATGGAAAATTTTACTTATTTTAGAGGATAAATTTAGTTAGAAAGCCTAAATACTGAAATAATGGTTGCAAATATATATCTAAACAGAAATATGGGAATTTTACCATGTAAACTCTTAATATCATTAATTCATTATATACCTAAAATTGCGAGCTTCTTAATTCCTCATATAATAATACTATCCTTTTTTCTCTCCATTTTTCTTTCTTTTTACTCAACCCAGTAAACCCAGACATAATTCAATCCCTTCAAAACCCGGATCAAACCCGAATACATCAATTACCCTTTATGACTCTCCCTAAAACTCTACACCAAAAAAAAAACCCACAAATTCAACATACCCAACAATTAAAATTCTCAATCTCAACCTTCAATTCCACAAAATAATTGAAATTTGTCAAAAGGGGTTAATTAAATTACCAACAAAAATTAGATATTTCTCAAAGCATAAAATAATCACAAAAAATAAACATAATTAAAGGGAAAACCAAAACAAAAATTAAGAGAAATCCCATTAATTAAAAATAAAAATAGAAGAGAGAGAAAGGGAAGTACCTGAGAGAGAGAAAGTAGGCGGGCAAGAATTAAGAAAGAAGGTGTGAGTGAGGTGGATGTCCAACTCGGATACAACAAACCTTGGTTTTTATTTCATTTCTGTCTTATTTCTAATTAAAAATAAAATTAAATAAAAAAAAAAGAAGGATTTTTACTGGAAAATTATAAAAAGATTGGATTTTTGAAGAAGATGAAAGAAATGAGAGTAAGTTAAAGGGAGTGAACTGAGTAAGTGCTGCAGAATTGAAGTTGGTTGGTTTTAGACTTTTAGAGATAGAAAGAGAAAGTTTAGTAGGGTTTTAAGGGATTGACACGTTGAAGAGGAAGGGGATTACAGGTGTCGAATTATGAATGGATAAGAGTGTTGAAAATGAAATCCATGCGGCTGTATGACTCATCTTTGTTGATGTTTGCGCAACTGATTACAATTTAACTTTATTTTATTATTTTTTGTTGTTGTTATGGTTACTCATTGTCACTTATTTTAGAGTTTTGGATCTTATCTACTTGTAGAAATTGTTTTAAATGTAAATTATTTGCTAATTGTGTTTGATCTTAGTTTTTGAATTTGAGAAAGATACAAATTTTGTCATCTATCTTGAATATGGTGTATTTTGATTATTTGGGGGGTTAATTTAAGTTGAATTAAAGATGACATTGGATCGTGTTTGATGTTATGTCAATAAGTTGGTAAAACTCAATAATAATAACAAAAAAAAAAACAAAAAAAATAAAAATAAATTGCCACTAAAGTTGAAGGATTTGCTTACGACATGGCCCATGTAAATATGTAATGGTCATGACGGGCCATGTTGTGTTTACTTAACATAATTTTTGTGTTTTTGCCGTGTTAATTTGTATTGTGTTGTGTCGTGTCATGTTGTGTTTCTTTAACAAAATAATAATAATAATAATGTGATCACATGATGCATTGCTAACCAAAGTATTTTGCACTCTTGCAGTCTTGCCTTGTTTTTCCTCCCTTGTCTAATTCTATGTGTTATGGGTTTGACACATTCACTTAGGGGATGATATGGGGGTTTTCTGGTGTTGAACTTGACATTAAGTGGTTAGGGATTAGGTACATTCACTTGGATGTTGCTCATGACTAAAGTGATTAAGTCTCGTACTTTTGTAGATATGGACGACGAGGATTTAGCTGTTGATAAGTGTCTTTAGAACGACAACTTTGTGAACAAGTTTTAGGAGAGGGTTGGTGAGGTGAAAAGAATGATATATAGAGTATAAATTGATGAACATATTGATCGCACTTCATGTGGATTTTGTTGTGGAGACTTATCTTCCCGCTCTTATTGACAACATGAGGTGGATATAGAACAGATATAGCAGGCTTGTTTCTAAAGCTTTTTTTTTTCTTTCAGTAGTATGTGCTAAATTATGAAAACCATGATAACTTAATGTTACAAGAGCTAGACATTTTGTTTACTACTTATGCATAATACTAGTTTTTGAATTTAGGAAAAATACAAATCATGTTAGTATTTCTAAATGTGTTATGAAGTATGTATGAGTTTTCAAGATTAATTTAGTTAAAGTAAATATGATATTGGGTTGTGTCGGGTGTGTCTGGTGTTATGTCAATAAATTAGCCAAAACACAACATATGACATATTATTTTTTGCCTCTAAAGTGAAGGATTGGCTCACAAGTCACAACATAGCCCACGTGATGGTTAACATGTTGTGTCTACTTAAATTTGTGTTTTTGTATTGTGTTGTGTTTGTGTCATGTTGTGATTTTACTTTTTTTGTACTTCTAATTATATTGTGAAATTCTATTGTAGAAATTACCAATATTTTAATTTTCATAAATTATTAGAAACAGACATCTTAAAAAGGGAAGAAAGGAGTATTATTTAACCCCTTATTACAATTACGTATACACTATCACGGTTCACTAGACCCCATAACTTTCACACATAGATTCCCCACTATTCCTCGCCCTGGTCCTAACTAGAGGTTTGCTTAAGTGACTTTCAACATCACAAGGTAATTCATACTTAACTGCTTAAACTTCAATCAAACAAGTTCTACTAAAATGCAATTTGTCTATACCTATAGAAAGTAAGTTCAACATCCAATCTCAAAGGCGATAAGAAAAAAAAAAAAAAAAACCCTCCCCAAACTTAAAATAAAGACAGATTCTTCTATACCACAACCCAATCTAAATCCGAACCTAAAAGTCAATCAAACTCCACTCGTCCCAAGATCAAAATACCCAAAATGTGAAAATGGGTGTACTATCAACGACGTCAAAAAGCATTCTCAGCTGAAATAACTCAATTTCAACACTTTCAACCGAAGAGACCGAACCATCCGGATCTTCGCTGTCATCTTCTTCCTCCTCATCATCCCCAATTCGTAATTCACCGCGTTTCTGGCAATTTCATCAAAGTCAAACTCACCCTTAATTTCTTCAACTCAGTCATCATCAAACTCCCATTTTCTCTCTCCTCACTCTCCAAATTCACCCACCATTTTCGCTCCCTTTTCTTCCCCAAATAACAACCCATCAACCATTTCTCTCTCCTTTGACTCCCATGGGAAAAGGCGGCGGTTGCGTCCCCAGCAAGAAGAAACTTCCCGACGGCGTAACAGCCGCCGGAAACCGCCAACCTCCGGCACCAATTGACGGCAACAAATCCCCAGTTGAAACCTCATCTTCTGACCCAATCCCCACTACCCAAAACGACGCCGTTTTCGACCCCAATCCGACCCGAATTCTGAAGGTGTACATAGTCTTCTACTCGATGTATGGACACGTGGAGGGATTAGCGAGGAGAATGAAGAAGGGGGTTGACGCCGTTGATGGGGTTGAAGGGGTTTTGTATAGGGTGGCTGAGACATTGTCGCCGGAAGTATTGGCTCATATGAAGGCGCCGTCGAAGGATGATTCTATACCGGAGATTGCGGAGGCGGCGGAATTAGCTGCTGCTGACGGGTTTTTGTTCGGGTTTCCGACGAGGTATGGGTGTATGGCGGCGCAAATGAAGGCATTTTTTGATTCAACGGGACAATTGTGGAAGGATCAAGCATTGGCCGGAAAACCTGCCGGATTTTTTGTTAGTACCGGTACTCAAGGCGGCGGGCAGGAGACCACTGCGTAAGTATTTGGAACTTAATAATGTTGATTGCTAGAAATTAGTTTATTATGTTTTGAGGAATTGAGATTAGAATTTGGTTATTGTCTTACAATTGTTTAATGTGTTTGAGTTTAATTGATTGTTAAGAATGCTTTGATGGTGTTAGGTTATGTTTGATGTGAGAGGCATACTTATTGGAGTGTTTGACTTGGTGGAGTTAATGACTTTATGTTGATATTGAGCAATTGTTTCTATGTTAAGAACAAAGCTCATTCACAAGTGCTTGGTAATTTTTTATGTTGTTAGATTATTGCTGAAGAGATTATGCAATGATAGAGAGTAGTGTGGCTTTATACATAAAATTTTGTCTGAAAATGCAAGAAGTATTTGAAGAAATTTGAGCCTGTCCCTGAGTGATCTGTGCAGGAGATGTTAAAAGAACGACCCTGGTATGTAATCAAATGAGAATATGAGATTGGTAGTTAGCTTTTACCTTTCGGTGTAGAACAAACTTGGGTGAATCACTGTCCTCCGGACGTTTCACCTTATGTACTCTTGGGCGCTTTGTCCATTAATTAATACACCTGTTGGTTTTCTCCCCAAAAAAATAAAAAAAAATGAGCTTGGTAGTTCACTGTGTGGATTGTTTCGCTTTGGTGACATAATTCCTAGGGGATTTTGGCTGCTGTAGTCATGAAGGTTGGCTTCTTTGTGGTCCCATTATTTTTCTTAATGGGATGGGTGGGATCCTAAAATATATTTCTTTGAGGGTGATTGAAGGGAGCTATGTATTTATGTATGTAGTCACTCCTATTGACTTTCACATGAAAGTCAGAAGTGGCTGCCTCTTTTATTTTATTTTTTTGCTTGTGAGTTGTGGCTTTCCTTAGTCACCGTTTACAATTGTCTAGAATCTGAGGTAAACAAGCACTACTACAACAACATAAAATATCAATTTTGACTGAGTTCCAGCATGACCAAGAAGTAGAATACAATCATGAAATGCGGGATTGAGGTTGTCACCCTTCCCAATCCCATATTTTGATCAGTTTTAACACTTCTCTTTAATAGGTTGTTCAATACAAGAACCTTTTTTTTTTTTTTTTGATTGTTTTTCTTACAACTCTCTTATCTGGTTAAAGATACTCCTAATTCACCTAGGATGTATCATATGAGTGTAACCTTTGTAGACCAGTCTGAAATCAGAATGGGCTCGTTACATGAGAACCAAATGATTGGGGATTACCAAAGAGTTTATCTTTATTTGAATAAGAGAAACCTTAATTTATGGGGGATTTAACTTCCAATTTCACCACCAGAAATATTATGGATCTGTCAGAGGCCGCAGAGCCTGCTGGCATGACTTACCATGGAAGAGTCATCAACTTTACACTTCCAGGCTTCCTCCAACATTAGAAAAGAAGACTCCATTTGCTATAGCATATTGTATAGTTTGTAAATCAATATGATTTGACCAAGAGAAAGGGGACTAAACTACCAGTGATGGAAGTCAAAGCTAAGCCAGAGATTTACTCAAACCACCGATATCTTAATTATTGAGCCCCTCTTTCTCTACTTTACTTGATAAACTAAGTTAATCAATGAACTTTTCCCATTGCAGGACTTTGAAAGATGTTTTTGTAAATGCAATACTGGTGTTGAGTTTGTTATTTTAGGCAGACATTTTGCATTATACCAATCTTTCCATGATGTGGCAGTTCATAGATTTCTCCATTTTTTTTTTTGAAGGAATCCAATTGTTTAATGGAAAGTGAGATATGATCTGATGATTCTGACTTTCTGCTTGAAATTTAGCTGTTAATTTGAGTTACCCTGTCAGGATGGAAGTCACTTAAGCAAACTTCTCAGGTTCACACATGCTGATGATTCTCTTGTTGGGAGTAGGGCGAGGGATGGTGGGGAATCTATATGTGAAACCTGTGGAGTCTCATGGTGTTAGTGAATACTGAATTGTGATGAGGGGTTAAATGATAGAAGAATTGGAGAATGATAAAGGCTGCAGATTAAGTAATGGAGGGCAGAGGACAGGTTGATGTTGAGATCTTAAGGGCATCATTGCCAGTTTGCCACCATGTGAATTTTGAAACTGAGGTTGAACACTTTAATAGAAAAATAAACAAAGGCAGCATATAAAATGTCTCTAATAGCTTTGAAGATGTTGTTTTATAGTTTGATCCTGCTTTTCTCAATATAGCCATTACCAGAACTTGATGTTCGGTCCTGTGTGTCTCTACTGTGATATATTTATTTTCTTTGCTTAGGAAACAATTGGATGGTTCCTGTCAGAAAATATGTTGTATTGTGTGGACTGACTTTCTTGGGCTGGTTGAGAGATTAAATACATTGTACTAGCTTGTTATTTAGTGTACTTATCCAGTTACCTCTTTCTGCCATCTGTTTTTGCAGTTGGACAGCAATTACTCAATTGGCTCACCACGGGATGCTTTTTGTTCCTGTTGGGTACACCTTTGGTGCTGGTATGTTTAAGATGGACACAATACGCGGAGGTTCTCCTTATGGTGCTGGAGTTTTTGCAGGAGATGGCACTCGAGAACCTACTGATACTGAGCTAGCACTCGCAGAGCACCAGGGCAAGTATATGGCTGCAGTAGTCAAGAGGCTTGCCTAGCCTTGATCTTCCTCCATCATTCAGGTTTCTGTCACATCCGACGGATTCCAAATGATGTACCCCTTCAGCTGAAGTGTATATGTCCCATTTATTTATATTGATATTTTGGTTTTCAGATATAGCCATCTGGCACTGCATAGAGTTATAGGGCTTTTTTCTTTTGTCTTGTTTCTTGCTGATGTTATTATATTTTTTCTTTTGATGTATTCATGGAGTAAAGTTGGTGTACATGTTTCAAACTCAGTACTCAATTATTTGATTCGATGATGGCATAATAAGAATGTCACAGTTTGCAAAATTAATTTTAGCTTTCTTTTCTTTCTGAGCTTTAATAGTTTGAAGTTGCTGATTCTATTTGTAATTTACTTTCTTATACTTATAATGCTTTGCTTGCATATTTGTTTTGTTCAAAAATACAAGTATACCTGAACAATAGTTAGCAGTATTGTTGCTCCTTGTTACAAGGCGCGATTCTGGAGCATTGAATGCGTACTTCAGTAGTCCAGTATAGTGAAGCAACAAGGAGTTATAGCCCTGCAGACTTCCCTACCAATATTTTTGCATTCCACCAATGCCATAACCACCCACCATACATAAATGCAAGAGTCAAAGATGAGATATGCTGAATGTCTTTAGTTGATAACCGATAATGTTCTATGCACAACAATGGTTCCTTGTGCATGGTACAACTAAAGGTTATTTCATTGCCCATGTGCTTGCACCTTGTGAGCACATAAGCAAAAAAAAAACTAACCTTGATTGTATTATAAAGGTAAAATCATTTTTTTCGAACTAAATTTATACTCAATTACTCAATGTTTCTTTTTGTAAAAACAATCATATGATGAAAATGAATATGAAGGATATATGCCAAACACATAATAGTGTATGAGGGCGAGAATTTCCTTATCTTTTCCATAATCTGATAAATGACTTGATCCCAATCAACCCAAACCAAAATCAATCCTAACAGCCAAGCGATCTCTTTTTATTTCCTTATCTTACCCATAATCTCAAAAAAATCTAACCCGAATCAATCTAAATTAAAAGCGATCCTGACAACCAAGCAATATTTTTTTTATTTACTCCATAGATTATTAAAAAGTACTACGTATTGACTTTGTTTAAAGTGGCAAAAAAAATATTCACTCACGACTCTATCGATTGGTTTAATCCAGTAATCAAGATTAGCCCACCTCGAAAGGTGCATCGTATCGTACATCTTTCACAGACTTCTGCTGACATTTAAACCACTTTTACAATCCTCACAATTAAAACTATCATAGTACTTCTCTTCCTATAAATCTTCAATTCAACACGAAAGTAGAGTCCCACATTTTTCACAAACTCTCTCAAAAATGGCGGACAAACTCTCTGCTTTGAGATCTTTAATGGCTTCTCACTCTCCTCCTCTTCATGCCTTAATCGTTCCTTCTGAAGATTACCATCAGGTTTTTTCTCTGATTTTTTTGTTGAATTTTGAAAATTTAATTGTAATTTATAAGATTAAATTATAGAATAAGTAGAATTATTGTTTCTATTTTTACGAGGTTTTTTCTGTGTTTGTTTGAATTGATTTTGTAGAGTGAGTATGTTTCTGATCGTGATAAAAGGCGGAAATTTATTTCTGGATTTTCTGGAAGTGCTGGTAAGCGCAAAGTGCTATTGCATCTCAATAATTAGTTTGAATTTTTCATTGAATTTTGTCATTGTTTGATATTATTGGATTTTTTTTATCCTGGATTTCTGTTTCTGCATTGTGTATATGATTATCGGTGGTACTGTATGTACTTTCGTAGTTAGGTTGTATTTGTGAAATATCAATTGAATTATCATTTTTGTTATTGCAATCTCGATATAGATTGATCTTGAATTACTCTTTACTCCGGTTTAGAACTCGAATTCAGTGGTGAATTCTTGGTTTGTAGGTGTTATCATGGAGTGTGCTAAGTTGTATAATAGACTGATTATTATTACCAAGTATTATTATAGCTAGTTCTGTCGTTGTGGAGGGTGTAGTCGCTTTTGTTTTGTGCTTATAGCTTGAACATTCTCCGGATATGTTGATGTTTTGTGGATATTAGGCAGTGAGTGTTCTTGGTCCAACAAGCCAAGGAGGTTTTCTATGACAATCAAGTGATTCAAATCTTTGCAATGCCTTTCATTGCCATGATGACTTTACTTCTTCGTGGAAGATATCAATCTGCCTCGTCTTGTTTATGCTATTTTGTTTACTATCTTTAGCAGGAGTGGCACTCATCATAGTCATTCATGGTGATTTCTTATTTGTCGGTCTTTCAAAATAGCGTATCACTAAAGAAACAAGTTTGACCTATGATGTAGAATTGTGCATAGTTTTATAGTTTTTTTGCGAATCTTCTCTGTAAATTATGTGTAGTATGCTAAGATCATAAGTCAGTCCATCTTGTTTAGTGGGTGAGTGTGCAAGTCTATATACTTTCCTCCCTAGATGTTGATAGGCACGTAATCCATGCTGATTGTTGATTACATGTTTTATTCAATAAACACAATAATTATTCAATTGCTAAATGAACTTGCCCGACTTGCAAGGAATTGTTCTTCTTTGTCAAAGTGGATTTTTCTGGAAAGTTCTCAGTAGTTTATATTCTTTCTAGGTTTGGCCCTCATAACAACGGATGATGCAAGGCTTTGGACCGATGGAAGGTATTTTTTGCAGGCGGAGAAACAGCTGAGTGATCAGTGGAAGCTTATGCGTATGGGAGAGGATCCTGCAGTAGAGATCTGGATGGCAGATGTGAGTGTTAGAGTTCATTTGAAAGTTTCACTGTTTGTTGGCCAATATATTTGATGCTGCACGAGGAGTCCTTTTTTTTTTTGGTGTTTAGAGAGCCACAAGGGCGGGGGTGAGAATTGATCCCAGGATCTCCTGGAACCGGGAGGGAAGCTCTAACCATTTGAGCTATTGTTTCTATCTCTAATAATTCTTTGTGAATGCTGAAGTGAAGTTGTCTCTTTTATCTGTTGTCTGCCAGAATTTGCCAGAAGAAGCAGCTATTGGCATTGACCCCTGGAGTGTATCAATAGATACTGCACAGAGATGGGAACGTGCTCTTGAGAAGAAGCAACAAAAGTTAATTTCAACCTCAAACAATCTTGTTGATCAAATTTGGAATGATAGGCCAGAAGCTAAGGTGAATCCTGTCAAGGTGCAACCACTGGAGTTTGCTGGACGCACAGTTGCCGAAAAGTTACAAGATTTAAGGAGAAAACTTATGCAGGAGAAAGCACACAGTATTATTATCTCTGCACTTGATGAGGTAATGGTCCTTCTATTTTGTGCAATGTCTGTGGACTCCCTTTGTTTATACCTATGGTTTTTACGAGTTCCTTACTTCCTTGGATTTACTTGTTGATATATATATGCATGCATAATTGCTCACTGTGTCTGTGTGTGTACATAATGAATCCTTTAAGAAGCAGCACCTTTGATAGGGTCCCCGATGGAAGAGGGACTTATGTACTAGAATTCCATTGGAACATATACTGGTCTTCTTGTGCCCCATGATGAATTAATGTTGGTGAATTTGTTTGCAGGTTGCTTGGTTATTCAATATTCGTGGGAGTGATGTTTCATATTGCCCAGTTGTTCATGCTTTTGCTGTAGTAACATCAGCAGCAACATTCTTCTATGCGGACCAACAAAAAGTATCTCCTGAGGTCAGTCTCTGCCGTGAAGCAGTTTTTGGCTGTGGCTTTTAATGATGACATGTTACATAGCTGTTCCTAGTTAGCTCACTGTATCACGTCAAATATATGTGAGCTTAGGATCAAATAAGGCTGATAATATCAAAATATCTGATCTCGCAAAATTAAAGGACGCTAATGTATAATAACCTCTATGTCTTTTAATTTTGGTGCCCATTCTTTTAACTCATACTTATGAGGGGTTTTTTCAGGTGCAAACTTACATGATGGAAAACAAAATTGAAGTCCGTGACTATGATGCAGTTGGTGCAGATGTTGACCTGCTGGCATTTAATCAGCTTGCTTCTTCCTTGTCTGTTAATGCTGCAGAAAATAAAAGTGGGGAGATGGGAAAAGATTGTAACTTCATATGGATGGACCCTCGTTCATGCTGCTATGCTTTGTATTCCAAACTTAAGTCTGATCAAGTCTTATTACAGCAGTCTCCTTTGGCACTTGCAAAAGCTTTAAAGGTAACACTTTTTCTTGCGTTTATTGTACTATTTAATAGTCCTGCAGCAAAGCTAAGATAAACTAGGATGTCTATGTATGTTGGAGGTTTGATGTGTCTTTTTTTGAAGAGAGTGCTCAATAGACGGGACCTAAGTTTATTAGGCTCAATAGATGGGAGTATGGGACATCATCGTCTATTAATTCCTCCGTTTTCCTAAGTTCTACTCAATTCTGTTTTTATCCTTTTTTTTTTTTTTTTTTTTTTTTTTTTAAGTTCTACTCACTTTTTCTTTATGACAACCTTTTATTCATTTTTATCATCAAATTTTCACAGGGGTTACTTGCTTTTTTGAAGGTTAGAGGTCTATAAGATTTTTTTTTTTAGCATGCCGAAGTACAATATTATTCTCACATTAATCAATACCTCTTTAGTCACTTAAGAGGGTCTCTGTATCCATGCTAGTCATTTTATAGATATTGGGTACTCTCTCCATCCCAATACAAACTTCACACTTGTGCATTCATTGTCTCCAAGATAAGTAGTTGACCATTATTATGTTGTTCATGTACTTTGTACTAATGAAGATTAAAATAAAGTTAATGTTTTAACCTCTTCTTAGTGTAAAATCATACCTGTTATTTCTAAGTACACAATCAAAGTTGATGTGTATTTGGACAGGGGGAGTAAATCATGTGAGTCTTAAATTCTGTGATCTCTTTTGTTTTTGCTGGATTTCTTTCAAAATCTCCTTGATATGTGGTGGGATCTGAGAAAGGCAGATGGAATAGGGAAAAGATGAAACAGAAAGGAAATCAGATGGGTTTGTAATTGTAAAATCCTGTTCTTCTCGTATTGATTTTTATGGTATTGTTAAATGCTTAAACTTAATATCCTTTGATTTTTTTTCAAAGTAAAGCTGTGTTATCATTTTTCAGAATTATGGAGCTTCCCTCATTTTCCTAGTCCCATTTGGAACTAAATTGGTGATGCAAACAAAGTTAAACTACTTTGGCTTGTTCACTACGAGCTATAGCATTGACAAAATGCATTAAAATGCAAACAGTGCCAAACTAGCTGGCTCGTTCAATTCAAACTTATTAGAATATCCATTGACAAAATGCG